TGTCAGAATGCTATAATTGTCTAGTCTGCAGTGGGGTACTCTATCGTGAGTACAGCCCAAATTAGGGTTTGCTATTTGTATCCTATCTGCTGCTAGTGCAACCTACTCTTTTTGTTTCTAACTTTCTGACAGTAGCCGTTGGCCTTTTCCCCGGGTCCCATTTTAACCTCCATCAGCTGCTGTAGTAATCAGCTCGACGACACCGAATCTTTATGGCTGGTACAATTTTGTGAGGTACCGCCAGGCTTCAAGTGCCGTAGCTGGCTTCGTTTTAAACGAACAAATGCGCAACTGCTCTGTCGGCGACATGTTGAGCAGTAGGACCCATGAGCGAGTCGTTGTAATACTGCGCTCTGGCGTTGTCGGTGTCGGCCGATGGGCCTGCGTAGCTGCCGACAAAATAATGATAAATCTCGCGTTCTGCAGCAGCAACTCCAGCTCAAACCTCCATATGTAATAGTCCTTACCGTAAAAACGGTACTTGTTTTGATTTTTGAAATATTAAGGAACTTCGACTGTGCTGAGAGAATTGCATTGTCGCTTGGGCAAGGGACTTTTGGTGTTGATGCATTTGGCACTTGTGTCGAGGGTGAAGGTTTGCGGGGCGGTTTCGCAGCCAGTTGTGGCCGGTTGAGATGGTTAGGAGGAGGTTCCCGCATCGCCATTCCGCAATGTTTGGAGCCCTTGCTCCATTGTTGATAATCGCTGAAGTAGTTGCTCGAGTGCGACGGAGCTGATGGTTGCCACCGGTTTCGGTTGGGCTTCAGTCGTCAGATTCGTTTGTCCTCCTGATCCTACATGTCAAAACAATAGGCAGAAAGTAGAAACAGGAATGAGGAGTTTTCACTAGCAGCAGTTGAGATACATATAGGAAACCCTAATTGGGTTGTACTCGCTATAGAGTACCCCACTGCAGGCTAGACAAACATCGACATTCTGACACACCCCCATAGTCAAAGTGGGGTACAATCAACACAACAAGCAGGCAGTGCAATAGTTCACAAGGATAAGCAAAGCTAGAGGCTATCACAAAGGGCAAGTGAGGAGGAGGAGAAACTGTGGAGGGCGAGAAGATGAGAGGCGACGGCTGAAGCTGCAGACACACGGGCAACAGGAGTGCGCAGCACTGGCGCTACCAGGCTAACCCCGGGCTACACGGCGACAGGCACAGCTGGCTCACTGTGCTCCCATAAGTGCTCACACTGTGGCTACCGGGCGCAGAGCCCCGGACTACACGGCCACAGGGGGTCGTGGCTCTCTGGACTACCAGGAGTGCTCACACTGTGGCTACCGGGCACAGAGCCCCGGACTACACGGCCACAGGGGGTCGTGGCTCTCTGGACTTCAGGCGCTGCGGACGGCAAGTCGGCTACCTCCGGTCAACCTCCCCCAACTGTCCCACACCCCTTTCACACACCCCCTGCTGAACCACTAGCACCGCTCACACGCCACCCCCCTCGTACCACTTCGACGGCTCCAACACATCCACCCCCCTCAGCGGCAGCTGCAACAGTGGGAGACGGAGAAGGAGGAGGAGCAGGGGACGGCTCACACACACGGCACCCCCATACTCTCCACTCCCAAAACCTAACACAGGAGTGCGGTCAGAAGCTCGGGGGACGGCGTGCGGCACTGGGGCAGACGGTACGGGCCGCTCACGGGCCTGGCGCAGGCCGAACGAGCCGCGCGCGGGCTGCCCGAGCCGCGCGTGGGCCTGGCGCAACCCGTACGGGCCGCGCGCGGGCCTGGTGCAGGCCGTACGGGCCGCGCGCGGGCCTGGCGCAGGCCGTACGGGCCGCGCGCGGGCTGTACGGGCCGCGCGCGGGCCTGGCGCAGGTCGTGCGGGCCGCTACGGGCGACGGGGGGCGACGCGCGGGTCCCCGGGGGCGCTGCGACGGGCGACGGGGGGCGACGCGCGGATCGACGGGGCAGAAAACCGCCGCGCGCCTCGGGGCGCACGGCGGGCAGAAAACCGCCGCGCGCCCCGAGCGCGCGGCGGGATGAAAAATACGCCGTGCACCCGAGCGCGCGGCAAGCAGAACACGTCGCGCGCCCGGGGCGCGCGATAGGCAGGACAGCAGCGGAAGCATTAGGTGGCGGGCCCATCCACAGGATCGACCCAGGAGGGTCGACCTGCTTTGATAGCATGTCAAAACAATAGGCAGAAACTAGAAACAGGAATGAGGAGTTTTCACTAGCAGCAGTTGAGATACATATAGGAAACCCTAATTGGGTTGTACTCGCTATAGAGTACCCCACTGCAGGCTAGACAAACATCGACATTCTGACACTACAGCCATCCTTACGCGTGAGCGTGTGACGGACGCCACCTTTGGTTCCCCTGAACTTCGAAGGTGGCAGTGCGAAGATTTCCTGAGTCGCTCTCATACCATGTTACTATCCCACAGGGGACCTTGCCAGGATCGGCCTCAGGCTTGCTCGCACAGAGTTAATGCAGCGGAAGTAATTGACATCAGATCAGAGTGAATATAAAATGACTGAAGCGATTATGACAGATGCATGCATGAGTTTGTATAGGAAATACAGGGAATACGAAAGGACCTAGACTAGCCATGTACTCTAAAGGGTACATTTCCTTATTGCAGCGAATTTCAACCGTGCGGCGCGGGAACCGGTTACGAACCAGTTCCCGCCAATTTCCTTGGCGATGGCAGCTGCCCGATGCTTCTGCCGATGATGGTCCAGATGCTCCAACTGTACGCGACAGTTCCCGTCATCCTGGCAATTCACATTCGTACTCGATTATGACTGTATCTTGTTACGAACAGGAATGCAATGAACTCAGATTTCCTTTATCATAACAGTATGCACAAATAGAAAAAGAAAAATATGAACAAATATTCGATTTGAAGCAGTATATGCAACTAGGCGTTTGGGGCTTGGTTGAGTGTCCGTGAATGAAAACGCCATGTGGAAAATATTGGAAATTGATGAGAGTATAAGAAAAGATCTTACTCTCTATTCAACTGTTCAATCAACTCCATGATGCGATATTTTACGTCGTTGTCCCCGTTATGCCTGCTCTGCGGATGCCACGTCAATGTCATGTGTTCCAGCGTCACGCTCCCATGAATGGAGGCCCACAGTTGCTTTTCTTCCCCGTTGACGGCAGCATCTCCCACCAGTTTCTTGGGTTGTCAGTCAGCAAGCTCGAGTTCCACGCTGGTGCCAGTCAGAAGAGTATGGAAACCAGAGATTGCTGAGCTAGGGAATGTTCTGTCAAAGAAGGTGAAAAGATGCAGAACAGCAGTTTTCGCAACTTTTTTGCCTTTCGGCCTGCCAGAAACATTGCCGCTTAGTGGATGGAATGGGATTACTGTATTGGAAATATTTTTCTCCGAAGGCGTAAAGCCACACCGGAAAGAAACACTTATCAGCCATATGTTGCTCGGCACGAACCACAAATTTCAGCCAATCGTTGTTCTCTCTTGGCTTGGTCTGTCTCGGTAAGGCCCAAACGGCAAGGTGGAGGGACCCAATTGGGGGTAAGGCACAGGTGCGCGGATGCCTGTTGACAGGTGCGGCAGGTTCGGCAGTGGCTTGGCGATGTTCTCGAAGTTGACGTTCGAGCTTCCCTTTTTCCCGCGTGTGATTCCCCCGTCATTGTCAACGTTGTTCTGGGTAATGGCTTTGGTTTGGGACGGGAAATGTGGGAGAAGGCGGAAACCCAAGCAAGCAGGGTGAGCCTGGCCTAGGGAATTGTTGCATGCATGGGAAGGAACGGGGAGAGTATAAGGGTGTGACACACCAGTACGGTACAGCAGGTTCCATTGCGCTTTAGAACGTTTTGTTCAGTAGTCAGACTGGTTGGGTTGGGTCTTTGAGCCGAACTGAACTCCATTTTCTCCAGCTCTAGAGAGGAAGAGAAATGCTGTGACAATGAACCCAAACGACCACCATAAAGCAGATTCTTTTGTGAAGGCAACTCGCATTATGAAAACAGCAGAAACGAGTTTCTTCCTTGCTCTTCCATCGTCGTTCCCAGTGCTTCAAAAAGCTCGTTGCTGCTCTTGCAAGCCGGCGCTGCTGGATTTTGCGGGTCGCACAAGCACGACCTCACAAACTTTCGGACGCAGTGCTTCTGAAAGTTGTTTCTGCAGGGAAGCAGAGGCATCCGCCTCACCGAGACGAGCAAAACTGTCTCGTCACACGTACAGCTCTTCAGAAGTGTGACGAGACGACGAGAACAACGCTACACGAGAGCAAGTTCTTGCGAGCATTTTGGAAGCGAGCAAGACGAAGGAAGCAACGCTATAACACGGCATTTCCGCCGCTGAGAAGCACAAACGTCCCGAAAAGTGCTCATGTCATGACGAGCGAGCAGCGGCAGACTCGCAGTTTTTAATCATGTTCATGGGCGTCGGTTCTTCCGCTACTAATACACTCACTCCGACACTTCTCTAACGGTTCGCTTTCGACTGCAGCCTGTGTGCTCCTGAAGCCATTACACGAGAATCGAGGCCACGTGCACTTTCTTGAGTGGCTTGGCAACCCCGTGTACATATAATTATCCCGACGCAATGGCAACGTCGTTGTCCTTAACCCACTCCGTGGCGACCAACTGCAGATTGATCCGAAGAAACTTTTCCACTGTCGTGCCAACTCCTGCAGTCAACAACTTGACCAGCAACTCTCAACCGACAGCACACTCCCTCCTTTCGTCCTCTAACTCCTCCTCCTCTAACTCTTCAGTCGCGCAGCAGTCCTGGTTGAATCTATCGTTATTGCAATCACAACCGTGTCGCTTTCGTACCTTTCAGCGACGACAGCGAGTCGGTCTCGCACTTCGAACCACCGGAGCTCCCAACAGGTTCGGAACCCCAACCTGCTTCCGAACCGACGAGGGAGACCCGGACATTCTCGTGCCTCACCACCCGCACATCTCAACTCCGTCCCATGGGACCACATTCAACCCCGCTTCAAGCTTCCTCGATACCCGATACGGGCCGTGGGCCAATGCCATGATGGAGCAACAAACTATGAAGAACTTACAAGAAAGGATTAAGGAGCAAGCCGGCGGAGGCGGCGGCGACGGCGGCGGAAGAGGCGGGGACGATGACGACGGGAAAGGCGGCGACGGCGGAGGAGACGGGGGGGACGACGGGGATGAGCGGAATGGGCGAAGCGACAATCAGATTGACGCGCTGCCGTTTCTCAGCCTGGCGTTCGCCGCGTTACACGCATGCTACTGTATCGTTATAGGCTTGAAGGAGAAGGTTCTGCCTCCGGATTTTCTCCGTACTGCTGCTGGGCTCTCCTCGTTGCTCATCGCTTCGGCCCTTCGACTGAACTCGTACGCGCTATAAGTTTTTTCACTTTGAAGTCCTAACTCACAGAAAGAACAGGAGAGAGGAAAAGGAGCCAACAATGTGGGAAAAAAAAACTCTATTGCGCGCCCTCTATTCCGTCAGTGCTTTATCTTTTCTTTATACTCTGTCTCATCCTTCTGCTTTCTCCTCTGATTTTTGTTTTTTTCACAGAACGCGGTACGGATTCGACTCCTATGTGCTGGGCCTTGGGGCATCCGTCGGCGTTTCTGTGTGGTCAGGTGAGTGGCAGACTGGCTTGGAGTGGAACAGAGTGGTGGGGTGATGCTATGTGCTGTGTGCTTGGCTGAGTGTTTGAGGTAGCTACCGCGTGCTTGTTAGGCAGCCAGACGAGTGAATGACTACAAAACAATGACAAAGTGAAAAAGCAAACGGGAGGCAAGAACGGGGAAGCAACAGCAACTCGGAAAGAGGGCAGAAATAACAGCAACGAGACTAAACTGTGGCATTGGATAAGTCGTGGCTGCAGTCTGTGTGACTGATGGTCTTAAAACGTCTCAAAAGCAAACAGAGTGTACTAAACTGTGAGTTGATAGGTGGCATGGCATGTTATGGCATGGCATGGCATGGCATGGCATGTTATGGCATGGCATGACTGTTCGGCACACTAGTCCCCCTCTGTCTCCCTCCCTCGCGTGCTTGCAACTAAACGTTTCCTTCCGAGGAAGGAGCCCTCCCCATATGGCGTGGCTGCAGTCTGCTCGGGTCACTGCTCCTAACCTCACTGCTCCCACCCTAACCTCTCCCACCGTAACCGCTCCAGTCCTCGTATGGGCTATAACCCCCTTTTCTCCCCATCTCCCTCCCTGTCTGCTTGCAGCTGAGCGTTGCTTCCTGAGAAAGGAGCCCTCCCCATCTGGTGTGGCTGCACTCGGCTCAGCAATCATGGCTGCACTCTATACGTGTGCCCTGTACCGCACTATTTAAAGCCCACTGTCAACCGCACTGGACTGCACTGTACTGCACTCTTTAAAGCTCTAGCTGCACTGGTGGCTGCACTCTGCTCAGCAATCATGGCTGCACTCTATACGTGTGCCCTGTACTGCACTGTTTAAAGCCCATTGTCAACCGCACTGGACTGCACTGTACTGCACTCCTTAGAGCCCAAGCTGCACTGTGTGGCTGCAGCCTGCTCAGCAGTTACAGCTGCACTGTACACTTGCGCCCTGTACCGCACTGTTTAAAGCCCACTGTCAACCGCACTGGACTGCACTGTACCGCACTCTCTAAAGCCCAAGCTGCACGCTGCAGTCTGGTCAGCAGTCATGTCTGCACCCTACACAAATGTTGTCTGTACAGCACTGTTTAAAGCCCGCTCTCTACTAACCTCACTATGCACTGGCTCCAATGGGTCGTACCTTGCCCGCTCTCTTAACTGCTTCTGTGGCTGCTGGTAGCTCTTGCCCAGCAGAGTTTCTCCAATTAATACAGACCTTATGGTTTCCGAGCTGAAGCAGCAGGACAAGGTTGCTAAGCTATGTGCTAGCAATGTGTTGTTGATGTGCTGGCTATGAGCTGGCAACTTGCTGGTGGTGATGTGTTGGCAATGTGCTGGCAGTGTCCCCACCTTTGGCACTGTACAGCTGTCTTCTCTTCACCCGTTGTTAGCATGCCAATGATTGTATTACCGGTACCCATTGTTATTAGAGTGTGCATGTGTGAATGTGTGCGTGTGCATATACGGTAGGTAGAAATCCTCTGCAAGCTGTCTTGTGCATATAAGATTTTCCCTGCTTGTATAGTCCTTCAGCAACCTTACTGACTGATAAACAGGTGTGGTGAATCGACTGATGTTGGGTTCAGTGTTACCTGTTTTGTGGGGGTTCTTACCGTAGTCCAGTCCCATCCTTGTGCAGGGTTTCCCCAGTCCCCCTCTTCTCCATGTTGTATCACCTGTTATATACCGGTATGATGTCTGAGGGTTGTTGATACTGTAATGTCGAGCTTCTGAAAGGAGCAATGACTTGCCACGATTTATACCTACCATACCGATATGAGGAATCATAGCATGTTGTTAGTACTGTACAGTATTTATAAAAATAGTTTGCATCCTCATCATCAAGCAAAGAAGGGTCAGAAAAAGCCCTTGCCTCCGAAAAAGCCCTTTCTCTTACCGAAGAACCCTTTCCTCTTGAAGCCACCCTTGAACTTCTTGTGCTTGTGATGGTGGTGGTGGCCTGTGGAGCCATGCAATAACAGGGAAGATGTTGATTAATTATTGCACACCATGGAACACGTCTACAGTTGATGACCCGAGGATTGAGGGAAACACAGTGAGTGGTACATAAACTGCATGAAAATTTATGGAAGTGAATTTTAGAGAATACTAGGGAACAATGAATACATGTTCATAATGACCATGGATGCTGTACACATGCATGACCATAGATGTTTCCACACTTGCTTGTTTTTGTGTGGATGTGCATGTGAGTATGTTTGTGTGTGGGGAGTGGTGGGAAGGGGGGGTGGGGGACGGGATGTGTGGTAAGGGATGTTTGTGTGTGGGGAGAGGTGGGAAGGGAACAAGATGTTGTGAGATAAAGGATGTTTGTGTGTAAGAAGGGGTGGGGAGTGGTGGGAAGGGGGGGTGAGGGACAGGATGTTGTGAGATAAAGGTTGAGAGAGAGAGAGAGAGAGAGAGAGAGAGAGAGAGAGAGAGAGAGAGAGCGAGAGAGAGAGGGAGAGAGAGAGGGAGAGAGAGAGAGAGAGAGAGAGAGAGAGAGAGAGAAAGAGAGAAAGAAAGAGAGAGAAAGAGAGAAAGAGAGAGCCCAAGTCCTTCCCCTCTGCCCACTGCCCTTTCCCATGTGAGATTACCATCACTCCCCACAACTCACCATGGCCATGCACCACCACCACAGCCGGTTTGGGAGCATGATGCACATGAGGAGGCGCATGCCCATGGGCGGGAGGAGGAGCACCGTACCCAGGGTAACCCTGGGGCGGGTAACCCTGGGGAGGGTAACCGTGGGGAGCGGGAGCGCCGTAGGGGGCGGGCGGGTAGCCATGAGGGGGAGGGGCGCCATAAGGCGCAGGGGCATGTCCGGCAGGGGGAGGGGCGCCATAGGGGGCAGGAGCATGTCCGCCAGGGGGGGGAGCGCCATAAGGCGCAGGGGCGTGTCCGCCAGGGGGAGGGGCGCCATAGGGCGCGGGAGCAGCGCCAGGGTAACCACCCTGAGGGGGGTAACCTGGGTAACCGGATGGTGGGGGCGCGTGGCCGGCAGGGGGAGGGGCGTGCTGCTGGGGGTACCCGTGAGGGGGAGGGGCGGCGTGGGAGGAGGCAGCAGCTGCTGCGGCGGGGGCGCCAGGAGCACCGACAGGCTGAGAGGGGGAGAGAGGGGGAGCAAGACGGAGAGGTAACAGGTGATTAGAATGTCACTGAAAACGCATGGGGTACAAAAAAACATGGGCTACGAGCGATGTATAAAACGCTCACTGGGATGAAACGTTTTGGACGTTTCCTGGTTTTTGACAAGTTAATCACACGTCCTCGGGAGGGGACAGCAGAAGCGAGTGCAGCCCAGCACGAACCAAGGGAGGGACCAGTGTCGACAAAGGACAGTGAAAGATACACGAGAGAGGTGGGTAAGGAGGTGAGCATACTGGGTAATACTTCAGAGCGAGACGAAGACTTCCCTGCTGCCTGCAATTACAAGGATTTTGCACAGAATGAAGCATTCAAACAAAAGAGAAGGGAGAAAAAGGAGAATGACTTAAAAAAAAAAAAAAACCCATTTTCCTGACGTTTATCTGGATGTGAATGGCAAAAGAACCTTCCGAAGTAAAGAGCAAGAAAAAGCCAAGTGTTTCTTCCTCTTCATCCCGAACGGGTGTCATGAACTCGAATGCTTCGAAACTGGGGTGGAAATGCTAGAATGCTGACCTGCCCTTGGGAGTAAAGAGAGGATGCCATGTGTCCCACACTGGAAAGCTGAAGGCCTGTCGGATATTCACCCTGAGAATGCCATATCACGGACAGAAATTAGTGAGAAAAAAAACACCTCAGGAAATTTCTTACTTAGAAAGGCGAGTTATATGCCCTAACACCACTACTTTCAACACTTGTGGTTCCAGGATGTACCGTAAACAAAATCACGGAAATGAGCAGAGAGGCGAAATGCGTCCTTGAAGGTTACAACCTGGTCATCACTCGTCCGGAATTGAAAAAAATGTGCAGGAAAGTGCGGGTAACGCAAATTGAGCTGGCTGAAAGGGAGCGTACTTGCAAGTGCCAATCTTGTCATCCGCCTTTCTGTTTTCGTTCCAGACGGCGACTTGAGCCTCGTCGACGCCATGGATAACGTTCAGGCGGAAGGTCGTGTTCCACACAGGCGACGTGTGTCCGTCTAGTAACAAGCAATGGACACGAAAATGATGCCGAGGTAAACATGATGAAGAATAGACGACTGCTGGAAGGTCGTGTTCCACACGGGCGACGTGTGTCCGTCTAGTAAACAAGCGTTGAATACGAAAATGATGTAGAGGCAAATATGACGAAGAATAAACGACAGCTGGAAGGTCGTGTCCAAAGCGCGTGAGAAATACGATGAAGAGCATTCGCCGAATGCCTAAATTTAGTACGCCTAAGATTCAGCACCGGTCGGCTTTCACCAAAGCTCACAACAATGTCATTTCTTGTCGGAAACATACTAACGTCTCTGTAACATTGGGAAGTTAGACACGTTCGAAGAGAAACAACAGCCAAATAAACAAACGGAGACCATGACAATGCAACCCTGTTCGATGTTAGGGTTGTCACCTTTGTGGGTCTTGGTGCGATGAGTCTGCTGACCGTACATCAGAACCGCATACGGATCTTGCATGCCAAAAATCTCCGTGTCTTTAAGATCCCGCGCACCAATCACTGGCATACAAATACGCGCAGTCAATCAGATACGTGAGAAAAGGGAGTTTTTGAGACGTTTCAAAAAACTTGCATGCCGAAAATCTCCGTGTCTCTGAGATCTCTCGCACCAATCACTGGCATACAAATACGCGCAATCAATCAGGTAAGAAGAAAGTCGTCACAATAGCACACAATCAATCAGGATGAAATGTTTCATTAGGAGCATGCAAGGAGCTCTACCAGCCGTCAATGTCGCATCACACAAACACACGGCCATGCTATTTGCTATAACAAGACACACTTGATTTCAATCTCCTTACCGGTGACATCCAGCCACCCTGCAGCAGCCATTGTTCCCGGCTCCTTGATTAAGAGGAGATGGAAGAAAAGGCTACCAAACTATGGCACCAGCAAAGGGCAACCTTGCTGGCTTGCTCCTTTCCTGTCCAGCAACCTCACTTGTTTTCTGCAGCGAGCAAGCCCACTCTAGCAAGCTAACCCCAAAACGCCTACTTGAACAAGCTCCCTCTCTCCTGTCTGAGTCTCGACTCTCAATCTCACTTGGATCAAGAAAACCCAATTCAATGCTGTTATGCTGCGGTTCAGTTGGTTCGGGTAAGGTAAACAACGTAGTTCAGCGAACATATGCTTTGTTTGCTGCGGTATCCTTTGTTACCGCATTGAGCTCCGCTAAATTGCACAAAGCCGCATTGGTTCCGCGGACGTGACAATAACGAAGGGGAGGAAACCTTCGAGTCCTCCACACACCATTGGTGTACGTGTAGCGTCCATCGGTCACCAGCTTGGTTCGCGCCAAACTTGAAAACCGATTTTGGTTGGCTTGTGAGACACGGTGTTTGGGAAGCCAGAATAACGTCAGATGAAGCAGCTGATTGGCAGTTGAAGTCAAGTCGATGATTCAGTCGATGCCGAGAGGTTCCTCCATAATGGCATCTTCGTAATCACGCACAGTCTCAGTGATAAATCGACCCAATCAGAAGGATAATTATAGTAATGTTCAGTGTATATGTGATGCCGAAGCGCATGTGCTGACAGCACAAATCACGTCCCCAGTCAGAAAATGTTCGCGCCTCAGAAAATGTGCTGCAGTGACTTTCAAGTGGTTCACGAAAATCACGAAAAAGCATTTGCAAAATTCAAGCTAGCCTCTTGACATTTGCAGCTGCGGACTGGAGTGCCCCACACCACAGCGTAGCGCAGCGCAATGTTGGTGCTCGACTCGAGGCCGGCGAGGAGAAGGGGCAAGAGAGAAGCTGGTGCTGCTTTTGTCTCTGGTCCTTCCTGCCTCTGCTCGTGACTCTTGAGTCTTCGAAAATAGTAGAAGGTTACTTAGCGAGCTAACAGTAGACAGGCATTTCGGAGTAAACCACCGTCACATTTCCAGAGTGTCTAGAGCTGGTGATTCCAGTAGGTTAGCTATTTCGTTCACGCAAGCTAGGAGCGCATTCTATTTTCCCCGAACCGAGAAATATTGTGGCAAAGAGCGACGGGCCGCAAGACGTCGAAGCCCGTCATACACGTGTTAATAAGCCGTTTTACTGAGGGTAGAAGTCACATTCGAAGTTTCGAATGTTCCAATCCGCGTTAACTCGAGTGCTTGTCAAAATGTTTCCGTCGACACGCGTGCTCGACACGTGGCGTATCGTGCTTCTCCTGTTGGTCGGTTCGTCCGTGGCTTACGGCGGCGCGCCATGCGAGCCGTCGTCCTTGCGAGGGTTCACCCATTCCGTTGACCTATCGGGAAACGGGTGAGTGGAAGTGGGTCGAAATGGGTGCAGATAGTTGCAAATGTACGCGCGGAAACTGATGATTGGAAATTGGTGAGTGCAGCGTATAAGCTGACGTGCTGATCCGTGTCATACAAGATCATAATCTCTGTAACGTGCACATCCAAATGTTGGATAAAAGAAGCAATGTTGAGCTGATATGAGCTGAAATGGGTGAACGGAACACCCATTTCACCCATGCCCATCGAAGCTGCTGACTCACTTCCCCTCACCGCTTTCACCCCCATCCTCGCCGCTCTCCTTCCCCCGCCTCTCCCCCCTTCCCCCACCCTTTCCCCCCCACCCCCCAGTCTCGTGCTGCACTGGGCGCGCAACGCCTCGCGCCTGCCGCTCCAACTCGCACGGCCCTCACCAATTTTCCCCTTTTCCCCTTCCTCTCCCCCTTCCCCCATCCCCCCTCACCTCTCCCCCCTCCCTCCTCCAGTCTCGTGCTGCACTGGGCGCGCAACGCCTCTCACCTGCAGCTCGCACTAGAAGCCAAACCCGCCAGTGGGGCCGAGTCCGGCTGGTTCTCCGTCGGCTGGACGGCAAACCGCGGCCGTATGTACCCCGCGGATTGCGTGATCGGGAACCTTCCGGGAAGCAGCGTGGGCGCGTATCGAATCTCCGGGTACAGCCAGTCTGACGTGGCGCCTTCTGATAGGTTCAAGATCGGGAGGCCTGTGCTGTCAGGGGGAAGCAATGGCGGGACAATCATAAGGTGAGAAAGCAAGTGAGATCCTGAAAGCAAAAAAGGGGCTTTACTTGCGCGTCGAGAGTAATGGCGGGAGGATTGTAAGGTGAGAAGACAACAGATCATGGAGTCGAGTCGAGAGAGGGAGCGTCGAAAGTAATGGCGGGAGGATTATGAGGTGAGACGAACGCGAGGTCACAGTGAGCATGATGAGCGGCAGCGGGAGCATCATCATATCGGGTTTCTCATCTGTGTGCGAGCCCTGCGGCCTAACCAGAAGGGGTAGGGAGCGACCCTCACCCTTCTAACAGGCCGATACCAATTGACTCGATTGGGAGGTCAGAGTAAGCATGAGCGGCAGCAGGAGAATCATGATCTGAGGTTTCCCCTCTCTTGCCTGCATGTCAGTAAGTTTCAGTAGCAGCAACAGGGAAATCGCTTTTGAAGTTTCTCAAAAAATATTATGAGGTGAGGTGAGACGAACAGGAGGTCACAGTGAGCATGAGCGCCAGCAGGAGCATCATCATCTGGGGTTTCTCATCTCTTGCCTTTTGGGAAGTCTAAAAAATCGACTTTTGAGAAGTAAAAAAAAAATCGACTTTTGAGGCGTCTAAAAAAACGGGAGGTCACAGTGAGCATCAGCGGCAGCAGGAGCATCATCATCTGGAGTTTCGCCTCTCTTGCATGCATGTCAGTAAGTTTCAGTAGCAGCAACAGGGAAATCGCTTTTGAAGTTTCTCAAAAAATATTATGAGGTGAGGTGAGACGAACAGGAGGTCACAGTGAGCATGAGCGCCAGCAGGAGCATCATCATCTGGGGTTTCTCATCTCTTGCCTTTTGGGAAGTATAAAAAATCGACTTTTGAGAAGTTAAAAAAATCGACATTTGAGGCGTCTAAAAAAACGGGAGGTCACAGTGAGCATCAGCGGCAGCAGGAGCACCATCATCTGGAGTTTCGCCTCTCTTGCATGCATGTCAGTAAGTTTCAGTGGCAGCAACAGGGAAATCACTTTTGAACATTCTCAAGAGTTTTTATGAGGTGAGACGAACGGGAGGTCACAGTGAGCATGAGCGGCAGCAGGAGCATCACCATCTGGGGTTTCTCATCTCTTGCCTGCATGTCACGTGAAAGAACTGTAGTTTTGACACGTCTCAAAACTACACTGCTTTCACATGAGCGGCAGCAGGAGCATTATCATCTGGGGTTTCTCACCTCTTGTCAGCATGTCAGTAATGTTCCATGGCAGCAACAGCATCTTCTAAGCTTTTTCCTCCCTTCCCACCCTCTCTTCTCCTCAACCCCCCTCCCTCCACCCTCCCCTTCTTGCAGGTTCTCTCGTTTTCGAGGGGACGGTGGGACGGTACCAGTGAGCTTCACTGGCAGCAGCAACCTCATCTGGGCTTTCTCTGAATCTGGATCGACAGACCTGGCCTTCCACGGCGACAACGCGTGAGTGAGGGAGCGAGAGGTTGAGTGAGTGCATGAGTATGTGTGGAGCCGATATCGGTGATGTTCAGAGGCAGCAGCATCGCTCTGGGCTCTCTCTGAGTCTGGGTCGACTGACCTGGCCTTCCATGGCGACAACGCGTGAGTCCCACCAGAGGTTGGCCTAAAGTAGACGGAGGGGCGGTACCAGTGCGTTTCAGTGGCAGCAACACCATCATCTGCAACAGCCTCATCTGGGCTTTCTCTGAGTCTGGATCGACTGAGCTGGCCTTCCATGGCGACAACGCGTGAGTGAGGGAGTCAGTGAGTTAGAGAGAATAAGTGAGAGAGTAGGTGAGTTAGAGAGAATACGTGAGAGAGTAGGTGAGTTAGAGAGAATACGTGAGAGAGTAGGTGAGTCAGAGAGAATAAGTGAGAGAGGTGAGTTAGAGAGAATAAGTGAGAGAGTAGGTGAGTTAGAGAGAATAAGTGAGAGAGAGTAGGTGAGTTAGAGAGAATAAGTGAGAGAGTAGGTGAGTCAGAGAGAATAAGTGAGAGAGTAGGTGAGTCAGAGAGAATAAGTGAGAGAGTAGGTGAGTCAGAGAGAATAAGTGAGAGAGTAGGTGAGTCAGAGAGAATAAGTGAGAGAGTAGGTGAGTCAGAGAGAATAAGTGAGAGAGTAGGTGAGTCAGAGAGAATAAGTGAGAGAGTAGGTGAGACAGAGAGAATAAGTGAGAGAGTAGGTGAGTCAGAGAGAATAAGTGAGAAAGTAGGTGAGTCAGAGAGAATAAGTGAGAGAGTGAGTGAGTTAGAGAGAATAAGAGAGAGTGAGTGAGGAGCCGATAATGGTGAGTTTCAGTAACATCATCTGGGTTTTCTCCGAGTCTGGATCGGTTAAGCTGCCCTTTCACGGTCGTAACCAGTGAGTGATTGGAATCCCGCGCAAGCATTTTGTCGCATTTGTCTCACCCTTCAAACAGATGTTAAATGAATCTGGACTTTTCCTGTGTGCCTGCGCCTTCCAGCTCAGAAGATGATAGAATGAGAAACCTAATCCCACTCTGACGTTTCTTCCCATCCCTGCCATCCCCTTCAACAGAGGTTCAATGAATCTAGACTTTTCCTGTGCGGCTGCACCCTCTAGCTCAGAAGATGATAGAAAGAGAAACCTAATCGCACTCTGAAGTTTCTACCCATCCCTGCCATCCCTTTTGACAGAGGTTCAATGAATGTGGACTTCTCGTGTGTGGCTGCACCTTCTAGCACAGAAGGAGGTGGTGGTGGTGGCAACGATGGTGGTGATGGTATTGGTGACAATGATTCTGGCATGGGTGGTGATGATGGTAATGATGTTGCATATGGTCATGATAAGGATGATGATGATAGGTTTGAGAAGGGGGATGATGGTGATGCGGATGACGAGGAAGGGGATGAAAAGGATTTTGAGCGATGGAAGGAGGGGCATAAGGAAAAAGATGATAGTGATAATGATGAGGATGATGTTATGGATGATGGTGATCATGATGATGATGATGATAACGAGGATGATAGGTATGGAAAAGGGGGTAATGACTCCGCAAATGGTGATGGTGATGATGATGGTGATAAGGAGAACTTTGAGAGGGGGGATGACGATGATGGTGATAAATATGATGATAGGTTTGGGGAGGTGGATAATGATGGTGATGATGACGATGATGCTCATAAGGAGGATGACGGAGGGAGCCAGTCATTGGCATCCACGTCAGCAGTCTCTTCTGACAGTGGCAGTGGCAGGGGCAACGTGGCATGTGAGCCGTCATCTCTTCCTGACTATGCGTGCTCCATTCGACTCAAAGGCAACGAGTGAGTGGGAACAGGGAAGAGTGAGTGGGTAAAGGGAGAGTGAGTGGGTAAGGGGAGAGTGAGTGGGTAAAGGGAGAGTGAGTGGCGGTGACAGGAGCGGTGTGGCATGTGAGGCGTCACCCCTTAACCACTCACGAGTGAGAGGGGAGGGGGAGTTTGAGTGGTGAAGGGGAAGAGTGAGTGGGGCAGGGATAAAATGAAGCCGGGCAAGCGAAAAGGTGAGTGGGGCAGGGTAGGAGAATGCACATACCCTTACAGAATGCTGCTGAAGTGACTTTTGACTTCGTTCTTCCCTACCCTTCCTCCCCCCCATCTCCCCCTCCCCCCCGGCCCCTTTTCCCCTTAGTTTCAACCTCCACTGGAAAACCGGGGCAGATACAATAGCAATGGCTGCTGACGTGGCGACGTCTGGTTGGGTGGCGGTTGGATGGTCCAGCAGCGGCAAGATGTACCCCGCTGACGCAGCCATTGGGAATCTGCCACCTGGCACTCTCGCCAACGGGGCGGCGGTGGGCGCGTACCACCTCAGCGGGTACGGCGTCTCTGACGTGGCGCTGACGTCATCGTTCGAGCTAACCAACACGACAGCCACAACAGCTAATGGGAGAACAACAATTACGTAAGTGTGGACCATCCGACCACTTAGGTTGGATAAGTGTGATGCGTTTTTATGATTTCCTTATCCAACCTGAGCGGTCGGATTATGTGTTTACCGTAAATCCTCTTTGGACTCCTCTCCTGGACAATAATAGAAGAGGATGTAAGTGTCTGTTGTTGTAGATTGTATTCCACACACTAAATGTGTCAGGATGGCCGAGTTGGTCTAAGGCGCCAGTTTCAGGTACTGGTCCGAAAGGGCGTGGGTTCAAATCCCACTCCTGACATAGTTGCTAACTTTTTGTCTCCGTCTTCTGTCTCTTCTCGCCCCCTTATCTTACCCCATTCACCTTTCCCCACCTTACATTCTCCCTCCCTCTCAGCATCAGCTGCACCAGCAGCACCATTCGTGTAGAACCCTAGAGCCTTGTTTCCCAGTCCATCAACCCACCTCTATCCCTTCCCCCCACCTCTATCCCTTCCCCCCACCTCTATCCCTTCCCCCCACCTCTATCCCTTCCCCCCACCTCTATCCCTTCCCCCCACCTCTATCCCTTCCCCCCACCTCTATCCCTTCCCCCCACCTCTTTCCCTTCCCCCCACCTCTATCCCTTCCCCCCACCTCTATCCCTTCCCCCCACCTCTATCCCTTCCCCCCACCTCTATCCCTTCCCCCCACCCCTATCCCTTCCCCCCACCTCTCAGGGGCGCCACCAGCGCGCTCTGGGCCTTCTTAGGGTCTAAACCCGAACACCCCTCCCCCTTCCCCCCTCTTATCCATCCTTTACCCCCCCCCTGCAGCTTCGAGCGACCCCTGTCAGTGGGTTCTGTCCCCATCAGCAGCAGCGGCGCTACCGCCGTGCTCTGGGCCTTCTCTCGCTCCGACTCGCAGCAACTGGACGACCACGGGCCGAATGAGTGAGTGCGCATGCATGGGTGAGAGGACAGGGGCCAGGGGTTGGGGTCCCCTGCTGCAAGGCTGAGCGCTGTGCTCTGGGCCTTCTCTCGCTCTGACTCACAGCAACTGGACGACCACGGGCCCAACGAGTGAGTGGCAGTAGGGGATATGTATGCAGTCAGTGGGCAGGCATGCAGGGGGGAAGCATGGCTTTTGTGTAGTTGGGCGGGCACAACAAGTGAGCACTGTGCGCAGGGCCTTGCACAACAAGGACACGGAAAGCCACCAGCTTGCTCTGTTCCTTGCCTCGCCCCGACTCGCAGCAACTGGACGACCACGGGCCGAACGAGTGGGTGTGCAGGCATGGGGTGGGCTGCTATGTTGTGAAGGGCTCACTTGCTAGTGGTGGGTCCGATAATTTGGGGCCCTGCGTTGGCTGGGCTTTAAGGAGAGCCAATGTGGAATAAAAAAGAAGGGGTAAACACAGAATATATATATATGTAGAGATTCAAAGACGGTAAACAAGGAAAGTAACCTTCTCTCCAAGTTCAACCAGCACCCTTATTCATCTCTCCTACCTCCCCTTCCAACCCCACCTCACCCCACCCCACCTCACCCCACCCCACCACACCGCACCCCTCCCCACCCCATCTCATCCCATCTTATACCCTTTGCAATACAAACAGGGGCTCCGTTACAATCAACTTCGTTTCAGGAACAGTGGTGGTTGAGGAACCAAGCAGCAGCGCCGAAGCACTCTATATGGCGCACGGGTGGATTCTCACTGTAGCTTTCGGCATTCTAATGCCTACTGCCATGCTTATATCGAGGATATTCCTCTCTGACAAACCTGCTTCAGACCCTGCTGCTGCAGCTGCACAAGCAGAAGCGGAAGCAGAAGCAAGGGAAGCAGAGGCAATGGGAAGGAAATTAGGGTTTTCAGGTCAGCCAACTTTGGAAGAAGAGATGGATTTCGAGCATATGCACCTAAAATCAGCTAGAGATGCAGCAGCGTATGCCTCAGGAGAAGCAGGAAAAGCATCAGCAGCAGCAGCAGCAGAAGCAGCAGAAGCAGCAGCAGTCACTGGGAATGCAAGCAGGGGAAAACCATGGATTTCCAAGCCTCATGCATTCGAAGCTCACAAGTGGACCATGCTCCTGGCTGTCACGCTCTCATTGGTCGGAATCATCATGGCGTTCATCCAATCAGGATCGAGCTCCCTGCAGTCGACACATGGCAGGCTGGGATTGGCCGTGCTGCTGCTGATCGTCCTCCAGCCAATCATAGGCCAGCTGAGGCCGGTCAAGGGCCACGTGTCGCGACGCTATTGGTTTGCACTGCATTGGGTGGTGGGACTGGCGATTGTGGCAATGGCTTGGAGCAACATGTTTCTTGGACTGGACCTCGCAAGCAGCAGATTTGGCTACAACCTTGAAGTGAGTCCCGCAAATGTTCATTATGTGTCAAGCTGTATACTTTCAGGTACGTACCTGGGGCTTCACCTCGCAAGCAGCAGATTCGGCTACAACCGTGGGGTGAGTGGCCGCATGCATGGTGTGTGGATGTGGCTATGGTGAGTTGTCACGTGCATGGTGTGTGGTTGACCTACAGTCTTGAATCTCGATTGTGGCAATGGCGTGGAGCAACATGTTTCTTGGGCTGGACCTCGCAAGCAGCAGATTCGGCTACAACCTTGATGTGAGTGGCCACATGCATGGTGTGTGGCTGTGGCTATGGTGTGTGGCTGTGGCTATGGTGTGTGGCTGTGCCTATGGTGTGTGGTGATGGGACTTGAATCGCGATTGTGGCAATGGCTTGGAGCAACATGTTTCTTGGGCTTGACCTTGCAAGCAGCAGATTTGGTTACAACCTTGATGTGAGTGGCCACATGCATGGTGTGTGGCTGTGGCTATGGTGTGTGGCTGTGCCTATGGTGTGTGGTGATGGGACTTGAATCGCGATTGTGGCAATGGCTTGGAGCAACATGTTTCTTGGGCTTGACCTTGCAAGCAGCAGATTTGGTTACAACCTTGATGTGAGTGGCCACATGCATGGTGTGTGGCTGTGGCTATGGTGTGTGGCTGTGCCTATGGTGTGTGGTGATGGGACTTGAATCGCGATTGTGGCAATGGCTTGGAGCAACATGTTTCTTGGGCTTGACCTTGCAAGCAGCATATTTGGTTACAACCTTGATGTGAGTGGCCACATGCATGGTGTGTGGCTGTGGCTATGGTGTGTGGCTGTGCCTATGGTGTGTGGTGATGGGACTTGAATCGCGATTGTGGCAATGGCTTGGAGCAACATGTTTCTTGGGCTTGACCTTGCAAGCAGCAGATTTGGTTACAACCTTGATGTGAGTGGCCACATGCATGGTGTGTGGCTGTGGCTATGGTGTGTGGCTGTGCCTATGGTGTGTGGTGATGGGACTTGAATCGCGATTGTGGCAATGGCTTGGAGCAACATGTTTCTTGGGCTTGACCTTGCAAGCAGCAGATTTGGTTACAACCTTGATGTGAGTGGCCACATGCATGGTGTGTGGCTGTGGCTATGGTGTGTGGCTGTGCCTATGGTGTGTGGTGATGGGACTTGAATCGCGATTGTGGCAATGGCTTGGAGCAACATGTTTCTTGGGCTTGACCTTGCAAGCAGCAGATTTGGTTACAACCTTGATGTGAGTTGCCTCATGCATGGTGCGTGGCTGTGGCTATGGTGTGTGGCTGTGGCTATGGTGTGTGGCTGTGCCTATGGTGTGTGGTGATGGGACTTGAATCGCGATTGTGGCAATGGCTTGGAGCAACATGTTTCTTGGGCTTGACCTTGCAAGCAGCAGATTTGGTTACAACCTTGATGTGAGTTGCCTCATGCATGGTGTGTGGCTGTGGCTACGGTGTGTGGTGATGGGACTTGAGTCTTGATTGTGGCAATGGCGTGGCATGAGTCTTGATGGGGCTGGACCTTGCAAGCAGCAGATTCGGCTACAACCTTGAATCGAGTCTGGCAACAAACCCCCCTTCTTGTTCTGTGTGAGATTCGGTTTGTGGGTCTACTCATTGAATGGCGTGGAGTAACATGTTCCTTGGGCTGGACCTCGCAAGCAGCAGATTCGGCTACAACCTTGATGTGAGTCTGGCAAGCCTTTTCAATGCAATGATTGCGATGCGGGTTGAGAGTACCTTCGGTTCTGCAAGCCAACTATTCAATCCCCATCGTATTTTGGAATACACCTCTTTATGCGCCCTCTAGACATAAAATTCTATTGCCCTTTTCTCCTCGTCCTCCCCTATTCTTTTGGTCCCACTCTCAAACTTCCTCCCCACCCATTCCTCTGCCCTTTCTTTTCTTGTTCCCTACCCACACCCCCCTCCTCCCTTCCCCCTCGCCCCCTCCTCCCCCCCCTTTTCCTCCACTTCGCCCCCACCCCCTTTTTATCCTATGATTGATTGTATGCAGTGGTATTACATCGCATTTGCTATTATGATTGGTCTCTTCACTATAGCTTATGCTATCGATTTCGCGTGGGACCAAGTCGGCTTCTGCATGCTTCGACATAAGCAGTCTCAAGTCGAATTACAGCCACTCAACGCTGACGAGGAGAAGGTCGTTATGATGCTATAGTGACTCACTGGGAATCTCTAACATTGCTGATCTTGTGTAGATTTCGTTATGATCATCTGTTTCATTTCATCATCAACGCACATTGTGCCTTTGTGTCAAACTCGTCTGGTTTCACCTTGCACAGCACACACGCAGTGACAGACAGCATGAAAGCTCATGATACACATAGGTACATACTCATGGCACCAATGGCACCGGATTTTGAGGCGCCTAGTAAAAAATGTCTCTTTAACTCCATCAAAGCTCATGATAGTCGTAGGTATATACTCGTTGCACCAGCGCTTGTTTTTGTCATAATCAAACCATGATGTGGATGCTCGAGACCGCTTGGCCTGCATGATTCGATCCATAGCAACTGCATCCATGGATGTGAGGCCACAGACCCATCGGTAACGGTTCACATCTTGCCCCACGCAAGATTATGTCACCCGTGTCCTTCCATTGAAGCACTTATGTGGAAGCTCGAGACCGCTTGGCCTGCATGATTCGATCCATGGCAACTGCATCTTTACACGTGGAGCCATTGCTTATGGTACACAGCTCGCCCCATGCCCACCCATGTCATTCCATCGAAGCACCTATGTGGAAGCTCGAGAGCGCTTGGCCTGCATGATTCGATCCACGGTAGCGGCATCCATGGCCGGGCAATCACATACAGAGACACAGACCCCCTCGCATTGCCACACAGACCCTTGGCTTGTCACAGTCTGAATCCCTATGTGGATGCTCGAGACCGCTTGGCCTGCATGATTCGATCCATGGTAGCGGCATCCATGGATGTGGGATCGAGGCTACGCTCTGCTGCTGCCGTGCACACCTGGGAGGGAGAGAGGGAAGGTGAAAGGAATATGGGTGAGGGTGAGGGTGAGGTACAAGGGGCACGGGGCAACATGTGACGGGCGATTCACATGAGTCCATGGTAGCTGCATCCATGGATGTGGGATCAAGGCTGCGCTCTGCTGCTGCCGTGCACACCTGGGGAAAGGTTGGGAAGGTGAAGGGAACACGGGTGCGGGTCAGTCAGGCACACGGCACAGGAGGTGGCATGGATCCACATGAGTCCACTGCAACTGCGTCTACGAGTGTGGAATCACGACTGCGCTCTGCTGCTGCCTTGACTCATGTTCGAAGGGCTGCAGTAGACGACTTTTGAGGCGCCTCAAAAGTCCACTGAAACTGCGTCTATGGAATCAGGAGTGTGGAATCAAGATTGCGCTCTGCTGCTGCCGTGCACACCTGGGGGAAAGGGGAGGGCAAGTGAAGGGAACATGCCACTTGCACAGGACACAACATATGAAAGGCGATTCACAAGAATCCATGGCAACTGCAGCTACGGACGTGGGGTCGAGACTTCGATCTGCTGCTGCTGTGCACACCTGGGGAAAAGAGAGGGCAAGAGAAGGGAAGA